CTTTATAATATTAGTTTATTAGCATATTTGGCCAAAAAATATGTGTTAATTAAAAATAACGACTTACTCGCGTGAATTAATACGAGAAAAGCTCTACTAGTTCCACGTCACTACGGAACTCTTATTTACGAGCAGAAGCGCGTCGCGCGCGGCGAACCGCTCGCTGTTTTTCTCGCTTAATACGCGTGTCACGTGACTAATTCGTTATTTTCAAAATGTTGTACTTCTCTCAATAATTGCAACACAACATACGTGTACCGGCTTACCCCTTTATGAAGTAACTAGACGTTAAATAACTACTAGCTCACATTGTAGTTACATACTTTCTTCAATGATTTCGTATCACAAAACACATATACAAGTAGCCTTCTTTTGTTTGCGGAAACAATAGAGAATGCTAATTGTTGCCATTCTTTTAAATGTTGCATAATAGCTGTTTCATTTTGTCTTGTGTTTTATCTAGTTTGGATAATTAGGTGTTTAGGAGGGTTTTTAACACAACTTTAAAGGTTTCAAGCACATATGGGACTCAAAAGGGGGCGATGTTCAACCGAGCAAGCGCATTTAGGTGCCGCGAACTTGGCCTTTTTTTTTGTCAAGGGAAAATTATCAAATGACTTCTCCCGCCCAGGGTTAGGCGAGATAAAGTGTGAGACTCTTACTAACTAAAAACCCTCCCGCTCCTTCTCCTGCTCTGGGCCGAGGCCGCGGTGATTCATTGCGCTTAACCCGCAATCCCGGCTGAACATCAGCTCTATAGGGTCCCGACTGTGGTGGTCCATTGGCTCTTTGAGGCGCGCGCGGAACGCTACGCGCCGTACGCTCGGATCTGATCTGGTCGGGCGGCGAGCTACCCATACTCGCCGTCCGCAGACCCGCGCTTACGGTGGCCGGAGATCATCGGCCCATCATGATCTCGGCCGCGACCTTGGCCTAGAGTAGGAGTTGGATCGGGGTTATAGTCAGTAAGACTCTGATACTTCCTCATGTCTGCCATTTGATGATATATCCTTCATAGACAAAAAGAGAAGTAATATAAAACAAAAATTACTTTACAGACCATATTCTAAAGTTTTTGTACCCGTATAAATATATATGAGTAAATACAATACATATTCATTATTATTTTCTTATGTTAATGTAGCACATTTGGCACCATTCACCGTGTGGTTTTATTGGGGGCACTTTCTTCTAAAACATTACGAGTGACATAGACAGTGTATAGAAGACGATATACACTTACTTCGTAACATATTGGTTAACTTATTTGATAAAATACTACTTAGAAGGAACAAAAAAACGATTAATTTTTTTTTAGGATTTATTTTAATCTAAAAAAATGTTGATTTGACTGCACGGTTGGTGCGGTGGCTGGGCAACTGGCTGCCGTGCAACGTGTCGCGGGTTCGATTCCCGCACGGAACTCTTTGTTGATCCACAAATTGTTGTTCCGGGTCTGGGTGTCATGTGCATGTGAAATTGTATGTTTGTAACCGCACCCACGACACAGGAGAAAATCCTAATGCGGGCAAACGTTTTTTTTTTTTAAATTTCTATCTAGGATTTCCGCATGTGTCGGGAACTCGTGACTGCTTTTACAAACATACAATGTCACAGATATTATTCACTGACCCGGGATAGCAATTTGTAGATTATATATAGGTAAGAGTTATTCCGTGTGGGGACCGAACCCGCGACACGTTGTACAAAAGTTGATTAATAAAAAGAGTGTCTAGTGTTAATTTTTCTAACATAACCACGATCAAAATGTTTGAATTCCTTTAACCTTACTCACATGGCAAAACACAACACTAGTTATTTCACTCCAGTTTTCTGTGAGGCCGTGGTATCACGCATCAAGCCGACGCATTCGTGCCGAAACATAGCTCTATATACAGACTTATATATTTATATCAATCCTTTGACAAAGAATAACAATACACTGCCCCAGACCAGACTATTGACCTAATTATTTTCTGTGGTTGACTTGACCTCAGACGAAAGTGAAACCTAATTTTAATACAATTATTTAACACTTTACCGATGGCTTAACAATGGTGGACTGTGTGGGTAGTGATGTGTCATTGTGACGTCACAGCTTAGTAAACACCGTTTAGTATATTAGTAGTTGGTGTTTCGATTAGCATTTTAATCGATTTGTTGTTTATCTTTATCCTTGTTTAATTCATTAAACTCCTATAGAACGCCGGCGTCCGCGCAACTATTCTTTCTCCAATTACAACAATTGAAAGGTTAAACATGTCTATTAAAAAAAACTATCGCTAGGCTTGTTTAAGTCGGATTGGAGATTTCAAACTTATAAAATAATAATGATTAATAGAATTTATAGTCAAGGTTTTCCCACGATGTTTTCCATTATCGTTTATGTCTAAATACACTTAAAAAGTACATATGTATAACTTGGAAAGTCACATTGGTATTTGCCTGGTATCGAATCATCATCAAAACATCCATCCATCTGCACTTACATCCATCCATCCAAATCGCGTTTATGATGAACAATTTTTAGTTCCTTAGCATTATCAAGCAAGAAAGACAGCATATACAGCGCCCATACTCAGCCTAACTAAAATCATAAAAGTAACCTTCTTTCGTCTCCCCGAGCGTACGGCGCGTAGCGTTCCGCGCGCGCCTCAAAGAGCCAGTAGACCACCACAGACGGGGCCCTATAGGGCTGATGTTCAACCGGGTAAGCGCAATGAGGCACCGCGACCTCGGCCCAGAGCAGAGGAAGGAACAGGGGGGTTTTTAGTCAGTAAGAGTCTGACACTCCCTCTCGCCCTGTCCTGGGCGGGAGAAGTCATTTGATGATTTTCCCCTCACAAAAGAAAACCTTCTTCTCCAGAAATGGAAACTTTGCTTTCGTGTTGTCTCTTTATTTACAAATCAGACCATTATACAGCTATGCAAAATACTTAAAACGACCTCGAAATAATTCAAAACCTCTCTATTATTACTCCAAATGCGAATAGAACCGTAATGAATCCATTTCTCACCTAATTTAAACCGCAGACACGACCACAGCGCTCTCGTAGACTTCGGTCATCATTTGATACAAGTGCGGATTTTGTCTCATATAACTGTTTCTTGCAGGTGACAATATTAGTGGCAGTTAAAATGGATCTTTATACCTTTATAGTAATGGTGTGTTTTGCTTTATTGAGGCTTTTGGATACCAAACCAACTCAAGTACAGTTTGCGAAAAAATAACCTTAGTATAATTGATTTATTTCATAAGCAAATTGATTTTTGGTGTTACTTTCGAATATTTTGATTGAATAAAGGGGATTTACAGTTATAGTATTAAATACCACTTTTTTCAAATTAAGGTGGAAATACGCTAATGCATAGTGTCGCGTCATAACGTCTCTGTTTCATACATTTAACAGAACGCGGCTTTTTACACGACACATAAGTTTGTTTCTAACCATGACATATATGTAAATGTTTGTAACCGATTCGCTTTTAGCGCGTCACGACACGCCGAGATACTTCCACCTTAACTAGTTAACTGTCATTTTTAAAGTATTTTTAGAAAAGATTGAAATTTGTTTATTGTCGTCATCATCAGATGATAAGTGAGACTTTTTAACCCGGAGAACGTTTGATTAATCACCACGCTTGCTCAAGGCGGATTGGCGAATTCAAACTTATAATAAGAATTTATAAAGTCCAGGTTTCCTCACGATATTTTCCTTAACCTCTTTAAATTTGTTACTTTTATACACAAATGTGTTAATTGGAAAGAGGTATTTCGAAGGAGGTAAAGATATAGAAAATAAGTGGTATAAATCTTATAAGTAGTTGCCACAACTGTGTCTTGGAAACCACTTCGTGCAAAATTTATAAGTTCTCGCTGATCGCTGCGCCTGCGCCAATGGGGACGCGACCTTAATCACAGTACTGTTTGATTCACAAACAGCTGGTAATCTACTTCGATACTGACTGCTGAGTCATGTTGTTGATGATATCAGCAAGTTACTGACCGTCTTAACTCAGAGCTCAGAACATCATCATGTCTGAATACCCTGTTCACCTACTTTTTTAAGTGATAGGTCGGCAAACGAGCAGGCCGATAGGCTGATGGTAAGCAATCGTCGCCACACATGGACTAGGTGTCCATGGATATGTGGTAGGAGTTACGAGTGTGATGGGGATTTGGGTTTTGGAGATTTAGTGATTGAGGAGGGATGGTGGAAGAGGAAGAGAAAGGATTGAACTTGCGGTAATGTGCAAAACATAACGCTGTGGTTGTTTCACGCCGGTTTTCTGTGAGGCCGTGTTAATAACTCCGAAAATCATGTTCCATATCACATTATAAATTCCAAAACTAAATACTATAATATGCTTATAGTCATCCTAAAACCCTCGCTGAAAGAATATCTTGTTTAAGCTTCAACAAAACAAATTTAATGTACGCCTCGGCTACCGATTATGCATTTGGAAATTACCATTCAATATATTGACTATATGTATGTTTATTTCTCGATTGGGGTGATTCTCTGACTGAATCTGCAACTCCGTTTAGATGACAACATGGTGTTAATCTAACGATATAACTAGAAACTAAGGCTATAAAAATGCGCAATAAAGTTATTTTTTAACACGGGAAAATCATCAATTGGCTTCTCCCGCCCAGGGCAAGGCGAGAGAGAGTGTCAGACTCTTACTGACTAACTCCCTCCCCCCCCGTTCCTGTTTTAGGCCGAGACCATGGTGCCTCATTGCGCTTACCCTGCAGCCCCGGCTGAACATCATTCCTGAAAGGCCCCGTCTGCTGTGATCTATTTTGGCTCTATGAGGCGCGCGCGGAACGCTACGCGCCATACGCTCGGGTCCGGTTCTGGTCGGGCAGCGAGTTACCCTTACTCGCCGTCCGCAGACCCGCGAAAATTCTCAATAACTTAAGGCTAGCTTTGGGCTGAAGAGAAGTTTGTATTGTTTAAAAAATGTACTAATTAGTTTTACTCCTCTTGCAGATGGCGCTACGGTGACCGAAGATGTCCGTCCGCGCAGTAGCGCTATGGTGTGTGGTGGTCGCGGTGACCGCTCGCGCCGCCGCCTACACCGTTGATTGCAACCACGAATACACAGACTGTGATACAGAACTCAGTAAGTTTATTTTAATTTTCTTCTTAAGATAAGACCAAGAAAAATACCCTTACAAACTTTTAAGCTATAACAGCGCTAGTGAGAAATCTTTGGGATGCGTGTTAAATTGGAAATCTTTCTCCTTCTCAACAGACTAGCGTTTTTTATATATTTTTCTGATGGGTGAAGGCTAAAATATAGTTGATGTTACCATCGTAACCATGTTAATATGTGATAGGTTGGCAAACGAACAAACGAGACGGATTAACTGATGGTAAGCTATCAGCGCCGCCCATGGACACCCGCAACAACAGAGCAGTTACGAGTGCGTTGCAGACCTTTTGGAGATTTTGGGATTGGGGGAGGGGAAGGATCGGGCCTCCAGTAACCTCACTCGCACGGCGAAACACAATGTTGTGGTTGTTTCACGCCAGTTTTCTGTGATGCCGTGGTATTACTCCGGTCGAGCCGACCCATTCGTGCCGAAGCTTGGCGCGTTTTTATGTATATTGGGACTATTAATGTTGGGACGATACCCCCTTGGAGATTTGGGTAGGTGAAAAAATGTGAACCATTCTGTTGTCATCATGATATCTTTAAAAATACCTGGAATACATTGCCGTTTACTAGTTAACTTAGTTTAGTAGCTTATAAATATCAACCTTCTTCAATCTATAATAATATTATAAAGAGGTAAAATTTGTAAGTTTGTAAGTTTATATGTAGGGGGTAATCTTTGGAACCGCTGGTCGGATTTCCAAAATTCTTTCACTGATGGATAGCTACAATGCTCTTGAGTGCTATATATAGGCTATAAAACATCACGTTAAGATTAAATAGAGCCGAGCAGCGGGTGAAACCGCGCGAGAGTAGCTAGTGTATTATATCACAACAGTGACTCACACAATTCCTAGAAGGGATCCGAGCACCGTGACCTCAAGTCTAACCTATATCATAACAGAACCGGTCCTTCGGTACATAAACGAGTTTGTTCCTATTAAATCTAAACAAAGGACCACACACATGCCCTGTATAATGTTATTTCATATTTATATTATGCCTACCTAGTGCACATACCTAATGTGCAATTATTTTGTAGTCGAGAATTTGCGATAAACTCTTCCCGCCTTATCCCTTTCATAGTCGATGGTCGAATAGGGATGATATCTTAATTTTATTTAAGTAAAAGATTATTTTTAAATATAAAATATGTATTAGTTGTGCCTTCTCGTGGAATCAATTCGATGACTCATATCTACATAATACAAGTGTGTTTATCAGAGAGATAGAAAGACTCAATTATAACAACATTCAAACATGATTTCTTAATTTATTAAAATTACTACTCACTTACATAACCTGATAAAATGGCTCACAATAGTTACTATTCAAAAATAAAATCTTAAATAACTTTTCAATTGAAGAATGTTCAAAATGTTCTTAAGTATTTAATAACAATAATTATAATAAATCTGCAAGCCAGCTTGTGGATAGCTGTTGGGCAGTGGGACGCCACCGACTTAACTCTCGGGAAGTGGTTCTTCATCTGCGGTTAGTTTTTACGACTTACTGCAGTGAACACTGATGAGAAAAAAGCCCGTCTACTTCATGACTGGCTGGCTTGATTGGAAATTCGCAAGAGTAGGAGTTGAAGAAGACTCGGTGGAAGAACGTAGCTCAGTAAGATAGTAAGGTCCTTAATTCCAGGATTTCTCAAATAGCCGTGAAACCTCTCCTTCCCCAAGCAGTTCAACGTTTGTTGCCACCGTGTCGCTACTCTACATACTATGCTCATAACCATATTATTATAATTTTCTGCCATATTGCACAATAGTCCGGCATCAACCAGAGATTGTTTGAAACTTACGATGTTTGAATGTTTATTACTCAATCAGCGCCAAAACGGATGAACGGATTTGAATGAAATGTGGCCCAGGCATAGGATACACTCCGGGGAGGGCATAGGCTGCATTGATCGTTGCCTATGACTATGAGTGCCAAGTTTTATTAAATTTGTTTAGTAGTTTATACGTTTCTTGACATGAAAGTTTTCATAAAAATATATGTTCGTTGTAAACACTTTTAAGTAGTAGTAGGTAAGTCAATGAACTACATATGTACCTAAGTTTAAAAAATGGGTTCATCTGATATCGACGCAAGTATAATTAATATAATGTTTAATGGTTGGTATTTAATCGCGGTATTGGATCTATAGCGGCTCCCTGTCACTTCAAAATGTAATTTCAAATTTTATTTGATGTAATAATAAATATGGTTTATGCCGCGTCGTACACGTACACAGAGATATTTAATGATTACTTTATCTGTTCCTTAGTAACGATTTTATTCCGAAAACAGTTGCTAAGGACTTTGTAGATCCTTTAGAAACCTGTATATCTAATTGTTTTCTTTGTTCAAATTATCGAAAGCCTTCTCTCACCCTCTTAGGTTGAGTGAGAGGGGAGAAATTGAATGAGAATTGAATGAGTTAATTTTTTATACTGTTACTAGCTTTTGCCCGCGACTCCGTTCGCGTGGAATAATGACTTTGTGCACATTTTTGGTTTAAAAACTATTCTATGTCCTTTCTCGAGTTCTAAACTATGTCTGTACCAATTTTCACACAAATAGGTTCAGTAGTTTAGGTGTGAAGAAAAGTCAGACAGACAAAGTTACTTTCGCATTTATAATATTAATTTGGATTGGATTGTTTCTAAGCACTTTTGAAAGGGGGGAGTGGAATAGCCAAACTACTTCTCTGGCCCTGTGAAGGAGGGTTTGGGGGGGGGGGGGGGGATTTAATAACTAAACTGAACTGAACAGTGGTCTTTATATGGCAATTTCTAATTGATCACCATCAGGTAATCCGTGTCCTTCTAATCGTAGTGTAGTTGAAAAATGCCGTTGGTTGTAAATGAAAAAACAAGATTTCAAAATGACAAATCATCCATCTTTTAAAACCAATCATAATACATTCCGATGAGTAGCTTTATAATAGCAGTATCAATTAATTATTTGACTGCCTCGTTACTTAATAATTAAGCTCTAGATCATACGGTCTTAGATTACTTGCTTGGTTAAGGCAAAATATGAAATGAAGATTTTCGACTAACTATTACGATTTTGTGGATAGGTACTAATTGTAACTAGAAACAGGTTTTTTTAAAGAATTTACGCCGCCTGCCGTATGAATTTTATTCAAGACATCCATTATAGTAACTACTGAACTGATTTTAATGAAACTCGGTAGTCATGTATCATCATCATCATCAGCCTATAAGTGTCTACTGCTAAGCATTAAGCACCGCGCTTGCTTCAGGAATAACATATGTAGATCAGCCGGGGTTGCGGGGTAAGCGCAATGAGTCACTACGGCCTCGGCCCAGAGCAGGAGAAGGTTTTTAGTCAGTAAGAGTCTGACATTCTCTCTCGCCTTATCCTGGGCGGGAGAAGTCATTTGATTGGTTTTCCCCTGACAGATAAGGGAGGGAGGGAGTGTCAGACTCTTACTGACTAAAAACCCCCCTGTTCCTCCTCCTGCTCTGGGCCGAGGTCGCGGTGCCTCATTGCGCTTACCCCGCAACCCCGGCTTGAACATCAGCCCTATAGGGCCCCGTCTGTGGTGGTCTATTGGCTCTTTGAGGCGCGTGCGGAACGCTACGCGCCGTAAGCTCGGGAAATGTGTATTAGGTAAGTTCGAGAGAATAACTTCTTTAAAACTAAATTAAAACTACATTTTAAATTAGTAGATAAAGTATCTTCGGTTGTGATATTTATTATATCGGTTGGATATGACAAATAAGATGTTGAATAAATATTAATTACTTTTAAAACGAACGATTGTTAGTCAATTCGATGAATTTTGAGTTGATTTATTGGTGTTTTTTTTTCTTTTCTGTGTTTATTCAGTTTTAATATTCGATTCGTTTTGTAAATTGAATAGTCAACGAGTGAGCTTGACATTACTTTTAAAATAAATTCTCGGTTTACTAGGTAAATGGCGGAGTCCAGTGGTTGGTGCACAAAATTATTATTATTAACAACAAGTCGTATGGTTTTAGTAGAAATTTTCATGTCAAACATCATCATTTAAAATCGGTTCCGTAGTTTCTAACATTAATGACTAAGTTTCATGTAAGCCCGTGCCGCGTTAACGCTTTTGAGACTTATCTGTAAGTTCCAAAGTTTTATATTTAGCCTCAAAAAACTTCATCCCCAATATCAAATGACTTCTCCTACCTTGGATGAGGAAAGAGGGAATGACAGACACTTTTTTTAAGTGGTAGGACGGCAAACGTGCCTACGGATTACCTGATGGTAAGCAATGAATGCTGCCCATGGACACCCGCAATACTTGAGGAGTTATGAGTGTTTTGCCAAATTTTTGGGGATTAGGGATTTGGATCAAAATTTTGGGATAGGAGTGAAATTGGCGAAAGGGGAGAGGTTAAGCCTCCACTTCACTCACACGGCGAAACAACTCTGTGTTTGTTTCACGCCGGTTTTCTGTGCGGCCGTGGTATCATTCCGGTCGAGCGAACCCATTCGTGCCGAAACATGGCTCTCGCAAAATCGCAACTTGGTCAGGAGGTAAAAGCATGAAGTATTACGTACTTTATGATTTTACATAATAATGGTTTCACGGTTAACATAAAAATGGCCGCTCAAAAGTTTTCGCTGTTATATGTCGTAGGTACATCTCACAACCTTTACGGATATTAAATCGGTATAACTAACCGGTTCATAAATTTCGCGTGGTTTCAATTCAATAAAATAGTTATAAATTATTTGCCTAGCATATTTATTTGTGTATATGACTCATAGATATACATATAGGTACATAGAAAAAAATAGCTTCTTCAGTTTTGTGGTTACTAGTGTGTCACGGAATTGATTTGAAGTTAAAAAAAAGTAATTCGAAATAAGCAAGAAAGTATAGTTAGAATTTTCAAATTTGTTTAGGTTCGCTATTCGTTGTTCAAATCTTTGTATACGCATAATTAATAGGTACTTACAATATA